ACAATATTAATAATGATCTACTATTTTCACAGTTGTAAAAATAGACTTAGGCACCTTGCTCAATGTCACAGAGCTCAACTTTTATGCAAGTACAGCTCCAATATCAGAACTACAAATTGACATACTGTATTTGTATCTACCATCTAAGAATGTTTATAATGTGTATCCAAGAGTATGTACATTGTGTAAGAGTACACTTTGGATTAATAATCAATATAACATTGACGAATATTCTTTTTTTCTTCTTCACTCAAAAGTGCACATTTAGTGTTGGGTTCTTTTAGAATGAGAAGTCCTTACTATCTCTTATAAGATGTAGAAGGAACACATATAGGTTTATTTAGAAATACAGTCCAGATCCAGTTTGGGTTTGCAGCAGCCGCCTTCTCCATAAAGCAGATATAGGAAAGCAGAACTCAACTGGGTCAGATTTTCCTCCAAAGATCTACCTGTCATAGATTTAAATTGCCTGTTAAGGACCATCTCAGGTCTCAGCCTTTCTTTTTCATTGTAGAAAAGTTGGTAGTGACTCACAGCTGGCCCTCTAGCAGGTTTTCTGAGGTTTTAAATTGTGCAAGAGGAAATTTCCCACCTTTTGCCCATAGAGTGGCTTTTGGATTTGAACAGCCTGCCTAGATTGGCAGTGCAGCTCTTTTCCCTTTAGGCCACCAGAGATCCCTTAAAGGTGATATCTAATAGTATTAACTAAAAATAAGTGTGCAAAACCATATGCTTCTAGTTCAACTCCTTCCCTATGATGTGATTCCCAAATATGACTAGATAATACGCTATCCAATACCCTTCAGAAAATTGCAAGCTAAAAATTTACATAGATTAATTCATAGCTAACTATAACTTAACAATATGACAAATAATATATTTATAGTCTGAATACAATAGTTTTTGGGTCACAGAAAGGAAATTATTTGGGAAGTCATGGGAGGAACTCTAGTTGTGATCTAATTTCTTCCTGTGAAACTTGGGAAATTACAAGGATAATAGTTTAAAAGGCGAGCAAGTTTATAATGTATTCCCCTAGTGCAAGGGACTTGGAGCTTTCTTTTCCTCTTTATAACACAATAGGTTCTAGTTTGATGATTATCCCGGGTAAGAGCAAAAATAACTCTAGCCTACCTGTTGTAGCAATAAATACATAGACGAGGACTTGCCAAGAAAAACTGAACAATAAAACACCCATAAATAAAAGGCCCTTATTTACCCTCTTTGAAAATGTAGTATTTAAATTATTGCCAATGAAACTCCAAAATTAAGAAGTACATGATACTGTTGGGGGAAAAACAAATGATTGTCCTACAAACCTTAGTAGTCCCATTTTCTTTTGGCAGTGTCACTAAACTTGGTTGTTTTGCTGTCTCCTTACTAAAGAAGAACTGAAACTGTTGGAAATCATGACACTGTTATCAGAGGAACTTTAGAACTACAATAAAACATGAGGTCAATAGATGGTTGGCAATCTAATTCCTAAATAAAGACCAAGAACTAGTAGAATGAAGGGCATTTTTATAGGATACATTTTTATACGTGTAAACTGACTCTGAGAAGAATGGGAATCCCAGAACACTTGATCGTTCTAATGCGAAACTTATACTTGGACCAGGAGGCAGTCGTCAGAACAGAGCAAGGGAACACTGCATGGTTCAAAATTGGGAAGGGCGTACGCCAGGGATGCATCCTATCTCCATACCTGTTCAACCTATATGCAGAACAGATTATCCCGGAGGCTGGGCTCTATGAGGAGAAATGTGGAGTCAAGATTGGTGGACGATTTAACAATCTGCATTATGAGGATGACACAACCCTGCTTGCTGAAACTGAAGAGGACCTGAAGCGCCTGCTGCAGAGGGTCAAGGACTGCAGCCTACAATATGGATTGAGGCTCAATGTCAAGAAGACAAAGATTCTCACCACTGCACCAATTGGCAGCATCAGGATGGATGGTGAGAAGATTGAGATTGTACACAGCTTTAGTTTGCTTGGCTCCACAGTCAACAGTCTTGGCACCAGCAGCCAGGTAATTAAAAGGTGCACTGCTGTTAGGGACCCCTCCAAAGTACTGAAGAGCAATGGTGTCTCTCTGGAGACTAAGGTGCATCTGATACAGGCCATGGTCTTCGCAATCACTTGTTATGCATCAGAGAGTTGGACAATGACCAGGGAGGATAGAAGGAAAATTGATGCCTTTGAGCTGTGGTGCTGGAGAAAAGTATTGAGAATACCACGGACTGCTAGGAAAACAAACAGATTTGTCCTGGAAAGGGTTAAACCGGGTGGCTCCTTGGAGGCAAGGATTCTGAGGCTCCGTTTTTGGACATGTTGTGAGGAGAGACCGGTCCTTGGAGAAGGACGTCATGCTTGGGAGGGTGGAGGGACGGCGCAGGAGAGGAAGGCCCTCTATGAGGTGGATTGATTCAGTGACTGGGATAATCGGGATGGGAGTGTCAGAGACAGTGTGATTGGCACACGACAGAGTGGAGTTTAGGGCTGTTGTACACAGTGTCGCTATGAGTCGCAAGCGACTCGACGGCACATAACAACAACAACAACAAACTTATGAATGCTAGCAGAACCAATGGTGCATAATAGTAATAACACTCAAATATAATCAAAAACATAGAACACATTACTTCCCTTACAAATTTGTCCATTCAATTTATATGCCACCAAGTGATTACTGAGTGTCTTCTATGTTCCCAACTCTAGACGATTGGATGACCTACGGAAAATAAGGTAGATACAGTCCCCACTCCCAAGTAGCTTACCCTACTTCAGTTAGCATACCTGGAAAGCTATGTGCTTGGAAAGGAAGTGGAAAATTTCAAGACAGAGATGTTCTGCATATCCCAGGCTGTACAAACAATGTTCCTTAATTTTACATTATCTTTTTGCTATAAAGATCATTCTTGTTAGTATACCTGATAGAAATACTTTCAGGTTTGCAATAAGACTTAAAAGTGTTAGTTAACAATACTAGCAAGCGCTTTAGAAAAGCTTAGCAGAAACTTTATAGGTGTGAAATCATTTAATCCTTAAAACCACTGCATGCGGTACATTTATCATGGTCTCCATTTTTCAGAGGAGGAAATCAAGGCACTGAGAGGTTGAATATTTTGCTCAAGGTTAACCAGGTGGTAAATTGTTCAATCTCAGTTGTGTCTAGCACCAAGTCCTACCTTAAAGAAAACGTACAGCATGTGTCTACACTTTATGTCTGCTTTACTCTTCATAACCCTGTGAGGTAGATGATATCCCATTTTGGTAGATGAAGTTACTAAGATTCAGAAAGATAAAATTGGCATGTTGGGCTTTAATCTCACAGGAAACCCTGATCCACAGCCACTGCCATTCAATCGGAGACTGTGATGTCTCTTTAAAGAGCCTGTCTTAGTGAATTTCTTAGGTGCTTAGATACAGATTTACAATTCCCTCCTTCCATCAATCTCTCTTCTCTACCTCAGGCTTCCTTGGAAGATTTTGTTTGAGGATAGAGTTTGGCTGATAAAACAAATGTTTGGAAAAAAAGTCAATATCCTGAGCTTATATGAAAGGCTGATCCTGCAGCAGCTTCCAAAAAAAAAATGTTTCAGAGAGGAGCCAAGAAGACAGATGGAAAATATGTCAGTGGGTTAGATGTATGGAAAACCTTCTATATACAGATCATAGCATTGCCAAGATTTATTGAGAAGTAAAAGTTGAGTTGTTTCCGCCAAAGTGTATAAGTTAGTTGATTATCTGGGATAATATATGTGAAAAAAAGAGATGAGAAATATAGAGGAATTAGAAACTCTTTAGAATAAGCAAAGGTACAAGTTGATAATAAATTAATTGGGTCATGCAGATCAACTAAGTATTTCATGAGCCCTTTTCAACTTCAGCATACACAGTGTCTATACTATCATTATCCACTCTCATCCATATAATTACCACTTTTCATGCAGCAAAGAAAAGGTAGAGCTGAAGAATTCAGACAATATTATTTAGACATTTCCACCACTAGAAGGATATTTTTCTGCTATTTAACTAACAGGAGAAAAAAAAATAACATCAAATCTCCCTACATTTAGAAGGACTGATGACCTGAATAGCTTTTTGAGCTGTACTTATTAAGTAGAGGAATTTTTTATTACTAATTCAGAGCTCTATATAGCTTTTTTAATACTTCAGAATTTGTTCCCGACCCACTGGTAAAATAATCCCATTGTTTTTGGAGTGCTTTAGAGTCATTTCTGACATAAGGAAGCTCTTATATAGTAAATTGGCTGATGGCTACAGATAATTTTCAGATGACACTGGGTGGAAGCTATTGCCTATAATACTCAGCCTGGTGGCAGGGTGAAACTATGGGCATCAGAGAAATAGGAGACTAATTTGTTGTTTAGGAAAGTTCTAGGCAAAGCCATTTCTTGTTTTGCACTTCTCAGCTACTTAGCCATTTCCCAGAGTTTAAACTGTCCGTTATCAGCTATGATATAAATTCTACATCCTCCTGTCTCTATGAGATGACTTCTTCTGGACTTGAAAAAGATTCAGGCGCGAGCAAGGGTGATCAGATGGATCAGCTTCTTGGCTTTCACATCCTGCTTTCAGCTGAATCTTCTCTGCTAACACTTGTTTCTTCTCTTCTCCATCCTGGTTAACTTAGACTTTAGTTCACAGTGTACCTTTGTGTCCTCAGGATTCCAAGGTCCTAACCTTGACTCAGCAATTTAACACTGCTTTCCAATCATTCTGACCTCACCTCATTTACTAACTGTCAGCATTATCAAAGACTTAAGACTTCCTTGTCTCTGAATTTGGCTGGGTCCACATAAAATTAGCTCTACAAAAACCATGTCAATGAGGAGCTCCAAAGCCGTTTTGCTAGCATTCTACTTCTGTTAGATTCATTTACTCTGTTATTTCCCATTTAGAAGACCTAGACAGTGAATGCCACTGATTCAGCTATAGGGGCTAATAGCCCACAAAGCCCACACAAAGTTTACCTTAAGGTTTCCCCAGAGGAGCCCCTCCTCTTCCAGAGGTTGACTAGGCTGCTGGATCTGCTGGCTGCCGAGGATGACTTGCCATCCCCCACATGCATGCGCACCACGGTAGACGTGGTGAAGGCGCTGCGCACGTTTCTCTCTGGTTTGGCCAGGATGATGTATACCTTCGGCACAAACATGCAGCCCAGCGCCACTGTGGCACTCAGACTGACTGAAAAACACATAGTGATGATTTTGTAGTTGCTGCCAAAGTAGATTGGCACAAAGGCCAGCCATATAATGCAGGTGGTGTACATGGTGAAGGCAATATACTTGGCCTCGTTGAAATTAGCTGGAACATTTCTGGTCTTGAACGCATAGAAGGTGCAGCTTAAGATTAACAATCCATTGTATCCCAGAGGAGTGACAACTCCTAGGTTGGTAGTATTACAAATCAGATAGACTTCCCGGATGCTTGGGTAGTCGTGCATTATGTCAGGAGGCTCCATTATAAAGAGAGCAACGATTATGCCCAGCTGGATGCATATGAGAATGAAAGCAATCACCAGTTGGGCACAGGCACTCATGAATCTGGGCTTTTTGGTACAGATCTTCTTCTTGCTGCCAGCTAGAATCCTTGCAATACGGTTGGTCTTAGTTACAAGGGCCGAGTAGCTCATGGCTGGGGAGAGACCAATGCCAATTCTCTGAAGGTAGCAATAAATCTGTTTGGGCTTTGCAATGAGGCAGAAGGTACATAGATATCCCAGGCAGATGCCGGCAAGGATAATGTAGCAGAGTTCCCTGCTGGAGGACTTGACTACTGGTGTATCACGGTAAATGATGAAGACAGCAGTAACAAACAGGGTAGCCAGCAGGCCAAGGCAGGCAAACACCACAGCTGCAATGGGCTCAGGGTCACCCCAGCGAAGATACTGCACAGGAATCAAATCACAACCTGCAGAAACACAGACACGTATTGAAAAAAGAGAAGGAAAAGGAGTTTACTTTGGTCACATGTTCCTAAATGATAATCAGCAGCTTATGACTTTCTCAATTTGTCCCCATTATACCTTTGTAATCTCAGTACTACAGACTACACATCCATTCACAAAGATTTCTCTTTATTTTTATAGAATAATGCAGTTGCTAAGTTATTAATGGCATCATTTCCTAGATAAAACTGTAAGAATTTGTCAAAACTTCACACTGGTTCTTCCTAATTCAGTCATAGCCATGAAGGTGTCAGTAAAATAAACTGCATTTTTTTTAAAGTTAAAGTGAAATGGAAAGAAATTTGGAACATAAAAACTTATGGATCAAAGTCTTGCTATAAACCTAACCTTCTTCTCAAGAAGAAGGGGGGTAGCATATGATTTGCATAGCAATTAAAACACTTGCCCTTGCATTTAAAACACAGTTAAAAAAAAAAGCCAACACTGCCTTACTCACAGGTGGTAGATACTTAAACATGAGAGCACCCTGTTAAAAAAAAAAGTGGCTGATCATGTTGCCTTGGAGATGTATCAGTCTTCTACACTTCTGTCAATAATTGAATTTCATGAATCACTATGACTCTTTCAAGTCACCCATTCTTCAGGCTTTCCACCACTAATTTCTCCCATTCTGTATACTAGGTCAAATCTGCTAAATTACAAAACATCATGTTTGTTCCTCTTTAGCTTCATCATCCATGACAGGACCATTTAACAGGCTAGGAGATGTCAATCATAATTTGGGAATTTGTAATCTGGCAGCTGGCTATAAATATAACTGGAGTTGTTATAGGTTCTGAAAACAAAATGATGAAGCTATTCCCTATCTTCATGAAAATAAGACTAAGAGGGAAGAGACTTTAAAGTAATTAATTAAAACAATGATAAAAATAATACAAAAATATGGCATAGTCCTCAATTAAGTTTTTAGGAGCAGGAAAACCTTCTTTAAACAGAAATGAACAAAACTGAAGATATTTAACTGGTTGAGCTTGATAAATTTAGGAAAGAAAGGTTAACTTTGATAAATTTAGGAAAGAGAATTTGCCAGTTAGTACATTTGGAGTGTGAAAAATCCACTATACAACAATGTGTAAAGAAGCTAGATGTGGACTAAAAGGTAATCAGTAATGGAACTTGCAGGACAAGGAATCCCTGATAAGAATTTAATGTTTAGTCTTAGGTAAATAGGAAGATAATGTGATTGAGGGGCCTGGGAGCCTAGAGAAATGATATAAATATTTTTTTCCCAATATACCTTTGGTATGTTTGTTATTGGATGAAATAAAGGTAAAACTGGATGCAGGAAAACTATTATAGGGGGTAGAATTCAGATAATGATGAGTTATATTAGAATGAAACAGAATTATTTGAACTTTAGGAGACATACTCTTTGAGTGGATGTTTGGTGTGTGAGAGTTAAAAGTTTCAAGGATAGTCTATTGTACTTCATCCTGTGTCAATTCTAAATAAATCTAGAATTTCCAGTGAATCTTATGTTTCATATGATGCAAAAAAGAGAATATCTTGTTGCTGGGTGGGGAATGAGGGAAAGGGGACAGCTTGAAACTGAGTAGGAAAAGTTTTGACCCCAACGGCAAATACTTACTCTACATGAGATGTCCCTACCCCACCCAAAATGATTTTCCACTCAGATTTCAGTTTTATGTCACTTTATTCTTTAGCATAGTGAATCTCAAATATATTAGCACACTAGAATTATCAACTAGAGATATGTTTAAAACATAAGAGGGTCTGAGTCTTACTGTCAGAGTTTCTCATTTAGTTGGCCTGGGGCTTGAACATCAGGATTATTTTAAATTTTTCTAGTATTCTTGAAGCATTTACTGAATAAGATCAAAGACTGTAACCTTTGGTATGGATTACATCTCAACATCACAGAAACAAAAATTCTCACAAATAAATAATCAACAACATAATAAATTAAGAAAATATTAAAGCTGAAGGATTTCATTTTATTGGGCTCAACAATCAAACCCATTAATCAATAGTCAAGAAATCAAAAGATATTTTGCATTGGGAAAATCTGCTATCAAGGACTTCTTTAAAATGCTAAAGAGTAAGTATATCAATTTAAAGATTCAAGTTTGCCTCACTCAAGTCATGGTTTTCAGTTACTTTCTATGCATGTGAAAGTCGGGCAAAGAATAAAGAAGAATTGATTTAATTTAAATTATAGTTTTGGTGAAGATTACTGAATATTCCATGGGCTGCCAAAAAGCAAACAAATCTTTCTGGGAAGAAATGCAGAGTGCTCTTTAAAAGTAAAAATGGTGACGTTATGTCTTAAGTATATTGTAAGCAACAGGGGTTAGCCACTAGGAAAGGATATCATGCTTGGAAAGGTGGGGATCAGTGAAGAAGACCCTCTATGTGGTAAACTGATAAAGTGAATGCAAGAATGAGCTGAAGATCAACAGAGATTATGAGGATTGTGTCAGATAAAGCAAAGTGTGGTTGAGGATAAGGTAAGATTCTGAAGAGTTGCCATTGATTCACTGTCACCTAACAACAATAACCACAATGTATAGCCAAAGCTGAGAGTCAATATTCTAGATATATCATTCTTGTACATTATATTCTTTCTTTACAATTAAGAGTTCTTTATTCAGTGATTAGGAAAAGTGGTAGGAAATTACTAATTGCCTATGCATATTCAGTAGAGGAATACCATTAGATATAGCTCTGGAAGTAAAGCCTTAAGTTGGAAGTCACCAAAAAAAAATGATGAGAAACAGCTACAAACATCCACTAATAATGTTTGATCTATATATAAATTGGAAGTTGCCAAAAACGAAGTGCATACAGATTGACATTCTAGGCATTAATGAGCCGAGACGGACTAATATTGACCACTTTGAATCAGACAATCACATGATCTGTTATTCCAAGAATGAAAAATTGATGGAGAATGGTGTTGCATTCATAGTAAAAATATCTACATCTCAAGCTCTATTTTGAAAAATAATACTCTGACAGGATATATCCAATAGTTATTAAAATATATGCTCTACCAATTTGTGCAACCCTATGATTCGAAGGGAGGATGCAAAGGAAGGGGAAAAATTCTGGAAAGGACCAGAAAAGACAGGGTAATGGTGGGCACAGTCCAATGGTGATTAATTTTAGAAAACAAAATGATTGAAAGGATTGTATGAAACACAATGGGAAAAATTAGTGTGAAACAATGTATCTGAACTTTGTAAGCAAACCAATGTAAAATAAATAAATAATTACACAAATGAGGCTTGAGATTGGGTTACTGAATTTTGTACCATCAATGATTTATTCATTGCAAATACCTTTTTAAAAATCACAAATAACAACCATACACATCATCCTCACCTGATGGACTACACAGGAAACAGACTGACTACATCTGTGAAAAGAATCATTGGAGAAACTTACTGTTGGCAGCTGAAACTAAGCCAGGGCTGACTGTAGAACAGATCATCAATTACTTGTGTACAAGTTTAAGTTTAAACAATAAAATTGAAACAAGTCCGCAAAAGTCAAAATACAATCTTAAATCAATCCCACTGGGGCTAAACCATCTCAAATCGGTATGAGACAGTGAACACTAATGACCAAAGACCAGATGAGTTCTGAGATGACATTAAGGATATTGTCCATGAAGAAAGAAAAAGTATTATAGTAACAGAGGAGAGGAAGGGAAAGATAAAATTCAACCTAAGAAGATATTCTGAAAATTGTGCAAGGATTATGACAAGAAGCCAAAATGAAGGGAATAAAGGCTGAAGTAAAGGAGATGCTTAGAAGATTTCAAGGAACAGCTTGAAATCTGCCAAGAGAACAACTGATCTTTTTTGAAGAAAGTGTAACCACAGTCCTTAAAGGCAAGAAAGGCGAGGTTTTTTTTGTCTGATATATCTCTTTATCAAGAGGGTCAAGTCCCTGGAAAAAGACTCATGATTGAAAAGGGTTAAGTCAGTGCTGTATCTTTTCTCCATATTTATCCATTTGTATGCAGAGCAATCGTTTGAGAAGCTGGAGTTACGAAGAATATGGCATCAGGACTAGAGGAAGGATTATCAACAACCTTCAAATTATACAACTTGGCTGGTTGAAAGTGAAGAGGACCCAAGGCACTTATTGCAAAGGATCAAACACTACAACCTTCAATGTAGATTACATCCCAACCTTAAGACAACAAAAATCCTTACCATAAATTATGCCAATAGGCAACATCATAATAATAATGTTAGAGAAATGATTGAAGTTGTCAATTACTTCTTCTTACTTGGATCCACAGTTAACACCACTGGCACCAGCAGTCAAAAAACCTTGAAGAGTAAGGTGAACTAGATCCAAGCCTTGGCCTTTTCAATTACTCTTTATGCATCTGGAAGTTGCACATTGACTAAGAGGGCCAGAAGAATTGATAACTTTGAGTTTTGGTGTTGGAGAAGAGTACTGAATATAATATGGACTGCCCAAAAACCAAATAGATCTCAGAGAAAGTGTAACCAGAGAGCTCCTTAGAGGCAAGGATTATAAAACTTCATCTTACATATATTTGGAAGGTTGTGAATAGCTGGCTCTTGAAAAAGGGCATCATTTGTGCAAGGGTGAAGAGCCAATGAAATATAGGAAAGCCCTCAATGAAATTAATTGGCAAATAAGTTTAACCAGTGAATGTGTCAAGCATAGAGGATGACCTAGGATAAGGCTAGGTTCAGGTCTCTTGTTTTACAAAGTCTAGATGAGTTGTGGTCAACTTGAGGACACCTAACAACAACATGGAAAAATATGTTATTATTCTGAAAATATATAGCTTTCGTATTTTTTAAAAAGGGATTTTTACTTTTTAAAAAGTTTGAAATGTTTCTTATACAAAAATTTGAGTAAATTTATTAGTTATGAAAATGGACTGGACTACTGCTAATGAAGACATCTAGCTTCACACTTTCAAGCATTGATT